GGGGGGGGGGGTCCTGTACAGTCTTAACAGCCTCATTTATAATGAAAAATAAACAATTGGAATTTTATGGAGTTCAAATTACATTTATGAAAACTATGTAGTAAATAAATGTAATCGCAGATAGTTTAGTTGCAAAAAAATATTTACTTTGTCATAGTAATTCCTCCAAATTGGTGGTATTTTGGGAGGAGGGGAAGCGTCTACACAGAGCTGTAAGAATGCTGAGGCCTTCATTTTCCAGAGTAGAAAGTCAGTAGATAATCTTAATTTTCTTAAAAATCAGTAAAGGGGGGCCAGGGATTTAGCTCAGTGGTTCTGCTGCCTGCCTCGCAAGCACAAAGACCCGAGTTCAATCTCTGGTACAAAAAAAAAAAAAAAAAAAAAAAAAGCAGTAAAGGAATCCTGATTTGGAAAGGTAAAAGTCAGTCTGTGAGGGAAGAGCAGAGGGTGGGAAGTCCAGTGGCATCACAAAAGCTATGCAGAAGGTGGCTAGGGATTTACTTCCTGGACCAGGGATTGAGCTCAGAGGTATAATTCCTGCCTGAGTTTGATTCATGGTACTGAAAAAAGCTATGCAGAAGAGCTCACCCACATTCAAATACACATAGGACAGGGTTCAGCACAGGAAAGAGCAAGACCAAGTCCACTGTGTCAATAACTGTTTCCTGTAGTAGTAAAATCATAGAGGCCTTTTACTACATTTCAAGATTTTCTATAAGCTGATACTGCTATGGTTTTTTTTAATGTATTTAGTTATTTGGTTTTGTTTTGTTTTATGTAGTTGAGACTGACCTAGAACTCACTATGTAGCCCAGGCTGGTCTCAAACTCACAGCGATCCTCCTGCCTCAGCCTTCTAAGAAATTTATTTCATTTTTGAGATAAGGTCCTATTATGTTGCTCAAACTGGCCTCAAACTTGGGATCCTCCTATATCAGCCTCCCAAGTAGCTAGAATAACAGTCACGCTTATATTACTTCTACAGTGGGAAAGGCCACTTTTTTTTTTTTCTTTCTTTTTTTGAGACAGGGTCTCACTACATAGTTCAGGTTGGCCTTGAACTCTCTATGTAGCCCAGGCTGGCCTCAAACTCAAGGTAATCCTCCTGCCTCAGCTTCCCAAGTGATGAGATTACAGGTGCGCACCACCACACCTGGCAAAACACCACTTTTGTTCTTTTACTTTTTTCTTTTTGGCGGGGGGTTGTTTTTACAACGGGTCTCACTATGTAGTTCAGCCTGGTCCTGAATTCACTGTGTAACCTACTGTGTGCTGGCCTTGAACTCACTGCAATCCCTCTGCCTCAGCCTCCTGAATACTGGGATTACAGGTATCTTTACTACTTCTGGCGGATTTTTTTTTTTTAAAAGGCATTAGGGATTGAACCCAGGGCCTTCACACTGAGCCACATCCCCAGCCCCTTTTTTATTTTGAGACAGTGTCTTGCTAAGTCATAAAGTTGTCCAGACTGGGCTTAAACTTGTGATCCTCCTGTCTCAGTCTACCAAAGTGCTGGGATTATAAGTATGTGCCACTACACTAGCTATTATGCTACAACTCCCAGACACTGTGTCTGCCCCATGAAACCCATTCTCGGAAGCCTCAACACAGGTCTTGCAGGGATGTCACCTACAGGTGACTGTCCCACTAAGGCCTGTTGGGAGGAGACAGGCTGAGCCACAGCACAGGCCTAGCCACAACCAGAGGCTGCAGAAGCAAGGAGTGAGATCAGGCATAGCTGGGTACCTACACTACAGGAAGGAAAATCTGACTTCCTGTCTCCACATCCACCATTCCCCTCCTCCCCAGGCCCCTACCAAGTTCTTACTCTCTACCATGAGAATGAAGGAATCTAAAATCCGTTGGGCTGGGGGAGGAAAGACAAATGGTATCCATATGCATGGTTTTTGGTTTGTTTGTTTTGTTTTGTTGGAGAAAGGGTCTCACTGTGTAGCCCAGGCTGGCCTGGGACACTCAGCAATCCTCTTGCCTCAGCCTCCCAAGTGCTAGAATGATGGGCAAGTACCACCACACCCAGTGTCTGAATATTACACTCTGAACTTTTTTTATAAAGACAATTCTGTGGAGTTTGTGACCTACCTCAGGACGAAAGAGAGGAGCACTGGGTCTGACCCAGGCAGGCCTGTGGTTCCAGCACGGCTCATGACCACTCGGCCACCTCTCTCAGCCTTGAAGGTTGGCTCCAGACACCAGTGTCATTAGGGGAACAGAAGGAAGGGGCAGGGGCAGCCCTCACACTTCTCCTGCTGGGAGCAGCACCCAGCAGTGTGGTTTCAGCTGAATCCTGGGGTTGCCCTTGGAGAAGTGGGGAAGAGGGAAGGTGGGGGCCTGTACCTGGTCTGCTTTTAGACCTTCCTCCACCTCAGACTCTATTTCCCAGCCTTAGGGACAACCAGCCCTTAGTCGAGGAGCTTAGGGCTCAAGAACAAAGTCAAGCCAGACAGCCTAGGTTTGAGGGCTAACCCTGCAACCTTCAGGAAGTCCTATAGCCTCTCTGTGCCTCAGTTTCCTCATCTGACACTAAGATGAGAGGCTATGCTGGCTGAGGACCAAGACTCAAGCAAATGAGATCCCCACACCTCTATGCACCTCACTCTGAGGGCCACCTGAGAAAGAACATGTTCTTCCCAGAAAGAGAAACATGGCCTCAATTCTCTCTAACAGGAGGGGTTAAACTAGGTCATTGGTTTCCCAGCCACTTTTCAAGTAAGGTTCATGGGGACACAGGGCTGCATGGCTTAAAAATGGGTGAAAGGCCACCTGCATGTTGCCAAGGTCCCTTCCACAGCATAACTGTTACTGATGGCTGGTGTGGCCAGGGCTGTGGAGAGCTTGGCTGCCCCACCCCACCACACTGGGTCAGCCCAGTTGTTCTTTTTGTCTGTTCTCTGTTGTTGTTTTGGCCATGGGGACTAAACCCAGAATTTTCAGGCTAAGCTATATCCCCATTCTTTTTTTGGGAGGGTGGGTACTGGGGATCAAACTCGGGACTTTGCGCTTTCTAGGCAGGCAGCAGAACCACTGCGTCGAATCCCTGGCCCCCACCCTTTTTTTTTTTTCAGGGTCTTGCTAATCTTCGCAGGCTGGGATCAATTTGTAATCCTCCTGTCTCAGCCTCCCAAAGTGCTGGGAGAACAGGCATGAACCATCACACCCAGCTTCACCCTAGTTTTATAAAGCCCACTGGCTCCCAGGCTGCAGGCAGCAAAGAAAGCCCCTGGTTGCCAAGGCCTGGTGCAACACCCCCTGCACACCCTTCACTAGTAAGCAGATGTGGGGCCATGTCACACAGCGCTGTGCATCATTTCTCCTGAAGTTAGCCCAGGCTCTGACTGCAGCACGACCTGGGTTAGGGGTGGGAAGCAAGCTGAGTCCCCCATAACCTTCTGCAGGCACCACACAGGAGACCAAAGGCAATCAGCGAGTGTGCCCTCTACTCTCTTCTCGGTCCTGCCCAGTCTTTCTGAGATTCTCTAGATCCCTGAAGTACCCTCTCCTTCTACTTCAAAACTCTCAACAAAACCCATGCTCTGAGAAGCCTTCCTGGACTCAGGATGCCACTGAGTTGCACCCTGATTCCCTGCACCAGGCTCCTACCAGCTCGATTTCTACTAAACTTGCCTACTCTGAACCCATCCTGTCCAACCTCGGCCTAACATGGCTTCCACTAATAATAAGGCCAGATATCAAAATAGAAATTAAAAATAGAAATACAACTTAAGCGTGATAGGAAGTATTATAGGAAAAGATAAAATATAAAATGAACAGAAAAATGGAAAGATTGTATCTTTCACATAATGAATTAACTGGCCTAAGAAATGAAGACCATTTTAGTTAAGACCCCATGGCGACAGCTAGAGCTCTGTGCTCAATTATTCTCTTCCCGAATTTGTTCAGAGAGAATCATGTGAAACATAAAGACTAAAAGGTGACTAGGACGTGGCCTTTGCCTTCAAACAGTTCACAAACCAGAGGCGGGGAGGACACCAAACAGCTAACGGTACAAGGGAACACAGGGCTGGGATACCAACTCTGCTGGGAAGGATTGGGAAAGATGTCCCCAAGAGGTGACTTTTGATTTCACTTTTAAAGGATACGTCTGAGTTTAATAGACAAAAGGGGCGGGGGAAGCATTTCAGGTAATACACTTGGCAAGTACGGGGCCCTGAGTCATAAGCGGATTTGTCTTATTAGAAGATGGGACATTCGGTGGCAAGAGAAGGGTAGGTGCTAGAAGAATAAGATCTTGGCTGAGCAAGGTGTTTCTTGTTCGTTTGTTTGGTTTGGTTTTGAGGTTTTGGGTTTTTTTTTTTTTTTTTTTTGGATACTGGGGATTGAACTCTGCACTTGTGAGGCAGGTGGCAGTACCACTGAGCTAAATCCCCAGCCCTGTTTTTTGAGATAGGATCTTGCCTCAAACTCTGGATCCTCCTGCCTTAGTGCTGGGATTACAGGCATGATTACCATGCCTGGCTGGAGTTTGGATTTTAACTTGTTTGTTTTTTTCTTTTTTAAAATTTTTTTTTGAGAAAGGATCTTTGCTATGTATTTCAGGCTGGCTTTGAATTCGTGCTGCTCTTCCTGCCTCAGCCTTAATGGTGCTGGAATTATAAACATGTGCCACTAGGCCCAGCTGGATTTTAACTTGTAAGGAATGACATGCCACGATTGTTTTGGGGTTTTTTTTGTAGTTGTTTTTGTTTTGGTTTTTTTGTTTGTCTTTGAGACAGGGTCTCACCATTTGGTTCAGGCTGGCCTTGAACTCAGAATGTACCCCAAGCTGCCTCCAACTCATGAGATCCTTCTGCCTCAGCCTCCCAAGTGCTGGGATCACAGGTGTGCACTACCACACCTGGCCCTAAGATTGGTTTTTAAGTGAACAACAAGGACCTAAAAGAAAAGAGGACTGAAAAGACCTAAATGGTTTCTAGAATAGCTATTGTAGCCTCAGGGAGGACAGGCTCAAATACTAGCACTGAGATCATTTCTTCCTCCTTTTGTCTCTACTCCCAGAACTCAGGACAGCACAATCCACAAGATCTCATAGTACTGACTTTTTTCTCCAAAGATAGACCAGGAAGGCAGGTGTGGTGTTACAAGCCTATAAGCCCAGCACTCAGGAGGCTGAGTGAGGTAGGAGGATCACTGCAAGTTCGAAGCCAGCCTGAGCTACATAGTGAATTTAAATTCAGCCTGAACTGCATAAAGAGACCCTGTCTCACCCCACTCCAAACAGTCAGACCAGGAAGAGGCAGGTCACAGTCTCACCTGTTCTCCCAAGGCCCCTTTCCTTTCTCGATTCTCTTCTGGAATCTTAGAGCCCGTCTATCACTCTTCCATACCAGCCACAGACCTGCAATGAGCTCCAGCCCTGCCATTTACTCCTGAGCAACAGCTATTTAACATCTCTAAACCTCAGTTCATCTGGTGAAGTGGGGACAGACAGCGGCCACCGGGGAGGCTGTGAGAGTCCATGAGACGCTGCACACACACCACTTAGTACCATGCTAGTGCAGGGTGCACAGGGTCCCCTATGCCTCTCCACCCAAAATCATGCCGGTGACCTTATTTGGAAACAGGGTCTTTGCAAATGTAACCAAGTTAAAATGAGGTCACACAGGATTAGGGTGTCCTTAATGACTAGTGTCCTTATAAGAGGGAAATTTGGAAAGACAGACACAGGAGAGAATGCCATGGGGATGCAGAGCCAGAGCCTGAAATGACTTGGCCATAAGCCAACGACAAAGGACAGAAACACGGAAAAAATTATCCCCGAGAGCCGCAGAAGGACAGGACCCCACTGCCACCTGACTTCAGACTTCTGGCCTCCAGATGTGTTTTCTCTCTCTCCCTCCCTCTCTCTTTCCTTCCTTCTCTCCTTTTTGCAGTACTGAGGATTGAACCAATGCTACATACCCAGCCCATTTTTTATCATTTATTTTGAGAAAAGGATCTCCCTAAGTCAGTAAGTTATCAATAAGTTAAAGACTTGGCTGGCACCTGTGACCCTCTTGCCTCAGCCTCCCAGAAGGCTGGTATTACAGATGTGCACCACTAACCTTGACAGTTTTTGTTGTTTTAAGCCATCTAGTTTATGTTAATTTGCTATGGCAGCCCTAGGAAACTAAAATAAAATAACTGCTCAATAAAATAAATGTTAGCTGCTATAATTATTAGAATCGGTTAGAAAGCCTCTGGCAAACGTATGACACATAATGAATTTGGCCAGAGGAGCTCAAAATTATGGACTAGAAAGTGGGCAAGTGCTGGGCATGGTGGTTGAATGCCTGTAAACCCAGAATTCAGGAGGCAGAGACAAGAGGATCGCCACAAGTTCAAGGACAGCCTAGGCTACATAGTGAGTACAAGGCTAGTCTGAAACTACATGGTGAGACCCTATCTCAAAAACAGAAAGACAAAAAAAAAAAAAGAAAGAAAAAGGAAGTGGCAAGGGAAGGCCTACACTGATAGCACTGAAGACCAGGGCCTCTCATGCACCGTGCCATTCTGGAAAGAACACAGAACAGAATTCCCGCAGGTACCTCTTACAGATGAGCCCTGAGCAGTTTTTCAGAGAGCCTAAGGGAGCTTGAAACATGACCCCTCCCCAGGCAGATAGATGTGTCCGAAAGGCAGAGGAGCAGTGACAGCACAAGTCTTGGGACACAGACCGACTACTGCGTTAAGCAGAAATTTCTCCTCTGTGCTCCTCAACTTCCACAACTGGAAAACAGACAAAACTTACCCTGCTTCCTCTGTTGACTTAAGTGAGGCCTCAAACAATGGTCACAGGTGTGAAAGGGGTTTGGATCTCTTTCAAGGTGACAGGGACCAGAAATGACAAAGAAAACCTCATTCCACAGTTAACCTCAAACTGTTTATCAGCCTCTTCTCTGAAAGCCCAAGCTCTGCTGTCCCCATCCCTCCAAGAGGTGCAGAACAGGGGCAGGAAGCAGAAGGCACTGACCAGCAGCTTGGCACAACAGGGCCACCATGCACACATCCTGGGAGCAATTGTGCCAAGCACACCCCACGTTCAGACACTTCCGCAGGTCCCTCCACGCTCTCCTGCTCTCTTGCCCGCCGTTTATTGCTTTATGACCCCAGACTGCTGAGCTGCACTGACCTCTGCTCAGGACTGTCCTTCAGTCACGCAGCCTTGCGACCGAGACCAAGGGTGTGGGCCCAGCCCTGGCCAACTTGGGGACGTCAACCTCTCCCAGGCCCCTGCCCCACCCAGAGCTGAGCCAAAGTCACTCAAGGCTCCATAGAGAGCTTATGGACTTTGCCCCTTCTCCTCAGGACCCCAGACCTCCCAGCGTTTTGCAGTAAGAAAAAGGAATTCTCAGCCAGGTGTGGGGGCACACACCTATAATCCCAGCACTTGGGAGACAGAGGCAGGAGGAAAACCGTGAGTTCGAGGTGAGCCTGGGCTAGCTACATGCTAACTTCCAGCCCAGCTTAGAGACCCTGTCTCAAAAATAAATAAATAGGGGCTGGGGATTTAGCTCAGTGGTTCCGCTGCCTGCCTTGCAAGCACAAGGACCCCCAAGTTTGATCCCCGGTACCAAAAACAAAAACAATAACAATAATAAATAAATAAATAAATAAGAAAGAAGGGAATTCTTGCCCTAAGAAAAAGTGTTGCTTTGTTTTGTGGTGCTAGGAACCAACCCAGGGCCTCGCACATAGGAACACATGGTCTACCAATGAGTTACACCCCCAGCCTCTGAAAAGAATTCTCAAAACTCAGAAGCTGGAAGCACCACTTGCCTTACAAGCACAAGGTCCCGAGCTGGCAGAATCCAGGTGTGGTGGTACAGCCCTATAATCCCAGCACTCTGGGTGGCTGAGGTGAGAGTTGTGAGGTATGTGTTGGAGCCCAAACCAGGGAATTTAGTGATTTAGAGACAACCTGTCTCAATAAAAGGGGGGCATGCATTAGGATGCAGCTCAGTGCAAAGGCCTTGGGTTCAATCCCCAGTATTGAAAAAGAAAAAAGTTGGTGGATAGAAAAATGAATTTCCAAAGAATTGGAGCCTGTGTGGTCTACACCCGCCAAAAGGACGTCCCGCCTGAGAGCAGCGTGGACAGGCTGTCCAGGCCCCTTTCAGGCGGTGGCGGCCTCCTTCTCTGCTGGCGTGTGACTCTAACCCTGAGGCCCTCTGCCCCACCAGACATCAGGGAGCCGGGGCTGGCATATGCATCCCCTAGGGCTGCGCCCAGTAGTTACCTCCTCAGCGTTCTCGCCTCCACCATCCTTGCCCGAGCTGCTGGGCTTGGCTGCACCTTTGGCAAGCTTGGGGGGCTCCTGCTGGGAGAAGATGGAGTTAGGGTTAGTGGAGGCCTTGGCTGGACCTCTTCGCTCTTAATTGCAACAATGCTCTGTCCACTTCAGTTCATCAGGCAGAACCTACTTTGTGCCCAGCTCTGAGGGAGATATAGTGCTTCAAGTTTAGGATCTGCGTGGGAAGTCATTTCTACTGCACAATAATTAAGCACAGTGCTCTTCCCAGTCATTTCCCCAGGCTGTGGCTGGGCCTACCCTGGCCTAAAAGTACCTTCTGGCAGGTGGAACCAGGGTGCCTAGGCTTCAGGGAAAAGCACCAGGCACAAGCTGGTCAGACTGGCTTCCAGCTATTGGTCACAGGGGGTAGGAAATTTCCACACTAGAGGGGTGGGAGTTACCACTTTCCCCTTAGGGCCATCCACAAAGACTAAGAGGCCAGGCCTTTTTTGGATGTCACAAAAAACACCCAAAAAGGAAGGTGCTATTGGCACCAGGCATGACTGCACACAACTGTAATCCCAGCACTCTGGGAGGCTGAGGCATGAGAACTGCAAACTCAAATCCAGCAATTTAGTGATTAAGCAAAACCGTGTCTGGAGATTTTTTTTTTAAGGGCTGGAGATGTAGTAAGTATAGTGCTAAGGCCCTGAGTTTAATCCCCAGTATTTAATTTTTAAAAAGGGCCTAGCAATGCCAAAAGTACAGAAGTGTAACATCCAAAATGCCACGAGCACCTAAGTTGACAAGCACTGGACAGGGATGGGGTAAAGCCCCAAATCGCTACAAAGAATGAGCAATAGTCTGAGGTTTCCCCAGGGAACCTGGTAGCTGGCTCAGAGCCTTGGCCTGCTAGCATCTCTTCCTATGCTTTGGGCCAAAAAAAAAAAAAAAAAAAAAAAGGCAACTGCACAGGGACAGCATGAGGAAATGTGAGGAAGATGTAGAGTTTTAACTCTGACTCAACACCAGTCACCCATGTGCCATGGGCCACTGCAGCCCAAGTGACCTTTCACCCGGTAACAGACCCCCTAAGGAGTATTTGGCACCCCCAGGCCAGCTTGGAGGATCCAAGTCAGTCGTGGGCCTCTGGCTTGGGAGGGCAATAAGAAATCCTAATCTTTCTTCGGGGGAAATGCAATGCACTGAGGGTTCCTTCAAAAGCTGGACCCAGGGCCAGGAATTTAGCTCAGTGGTTCTGGTGCCTGCCTCACAAGCACAAGGGCCAAAGTTCGATCCCCGGTACCAAAAAAATAAAAAATTTTAAAAAAGACACAAGCAGGGTCTGCAGAACAGCTGCAAGAACTGGAAGAGTTTACAATATAAGGGAGGAGCCCTGGCAGGTGGAGAGCAAGATGGAACTCAACCAGCCAACACAGGGCTGCCATGTGGACTAAAGATGCAGCTCGTCCACTGGGACCAAAGGGCACCGTGCTGTGTAATGAAGGTGCAGGAGGACAGGCCAGGGCTCCAACCCAGGCTGAATTTTCTCACGGTGCAGTTGCATGGAAACTCCCCAGTCCTGAGAACATTGAGGCAGAGGCTGTGTGACCTCCTCTAAGGCCTGCTTCGAAAGGGATTCAAGCCTCAAATGAGAACTGGATTGGAGGAGCTTGGAAATCACTCCCAGCTCTGAGAGTCTGCAATTCAACAGCAGCCAAGCCCCTTCAGCGAGAAGTATTAAATCAAGTGATTGTGACTCTGGGGGCAAAAGGATTTCAGGGAGAAGAGAGCTCTGTGTGGGCTGGAGCAGGGGAGGCTTCTGGGAGTGGGGAGGAAAAGCCACTGCTGGGTGTGGAGCAGCCTAATGCGTTCACTGGCACAGGGGGAAGGAGCTCCTTCTTCGCGCAGAGCCCTCCCATGCCCTCTGCCCAGGCTGGCCACACTGACCCTGCTGTCAGTCTCAGTATGGGACTAGCAGAAAAAGGATGGGGGGTGCAGGAAGGTCACAACCCTGAGGTGACTGTGTGCCACACCCAGCACCTGAGACAAAGCTGACCCTTGTCTGAAAGTCTGATCACACTTTTTGATGCTAAGCTTATTCTTTCTTGCACCCCTCCGCCCACCCTGTGGCACTCAGCATGATGGGCCTCAGAGAGACCCAGCTGCCATGGGGTGTGGGTGTGCATGGGGAACAGGGCCCCAGCCTGGCTCCTGCAGAACAGGTGATGTGCGTGCACTGTGCCCAGCCCAGCTGTCAAGTACTGAGGGACACGGAGGGCGAAGAGCGAAGCGGAGCCAGCCTGTGTTTGGATTCAACTCTGACTAGCAATGCTCATGCTGTGGGCAACCACCATCTCTGAGCCTCAGTTTCCTCATCTATTCAACCACGGCAGTCATAGCACCCATTTCCTTGGTACAGTGACTGCACCATGAAAACCCTACTGTTGGTCAATATTGTTACTATTATTTTAAATAAAAAAGTGGGAGGGAGCAGGGGTGCTTCATTCAGAAACATAAAAGACGGAAGTTTCAGATCAGAACAGGATGCAAAATCCACTCCTCCAAACACCGCTCAGTACCTACTGTGTGCAAGGGAGAGCCAAACCAACGTGGAACTTAGTGATGATCTCCAGGAGCAAAAATGAAAACTGTCCACAGTTCATTCTAAGCCAGGCTGAACAAAAAGTAGCCTACCAAGGGTTCTGCACATCTAGGGGAAGAGGGAGAGCTCAGAAAGGCTTTAGCGAGGAGATAATGAAGGACAGCAAGGATTAGGATCAGCAAAGATGAAAGAGAAACAAGGTGATGCATGAGTGATAGCCTTCTCTCACACACCAAGCTCCAGTTCCCACCCCATCTAGTCACACTGCCACCTTGCTCCCCCCAAGAACCTCCCAACCATTGAGGCAAGATAAACACAAGCAAAAATCAAATGCATGCAATTAAATCTCACAGGAGATGAGAATTACACCTGGTTCCACACAGTCCTATCCTCCCAACAACATTTCTCAGCCAAGTACACTATAAAGGTCCCAGCAAGTCTAAGAAAGTCCCTTCTTCTCAAGCATCTAGAAGGCAAAGGCTTTCGGCAGATGGGGCAGGATCTGGCCAATCAGACTAAAAACTACACAGGGTGGGGAACATCACCATTTCCTGAATTCTATGCCCCTTAGTTCCTGGTACAACTGACTTGTGTGACACTGTCTACAGCCAAACTGCTCAAACCACCTTGGCATGCCCAACCCCCAAGGACAAGGCCTAGATGGCACACACAAACCTGTCCAGCTCACCACATCAGGGGAGTCAGTGTCTACCATACCATCACCAACCCTGTGCTCAGAATCTCAGGCCCAGCCAGGTGCGGTGGTGTACACCTGTAATCCCCGCACTTAGGAGGCTTAGGCAGAAGGATCACCTAGAGTTTGGGGTCAGCCTGGGCTACATAATGAGTTCGAGGCCAACCTGAACTAAACTGCAAAACCCTGACCTCCCCCACACACAAAAGAACCCAACAAACCCAGGAGAAAGAATTTAATTAATAAAGTCAGAGATGGCAGCCTAGTAGCTCAATCACAGGACAAATGAAAGCCATACACCTCTGGGGTCATCTGGAGGGTGGCTATAATCCAGGCCAGAGCCAGCCCCACCAGGAGGGACCAGCTCTGGGAGAGAAGCTGGGGGAGGTAGGAACTGGTATCCTAGCATCCTCTGTGAGTCTATACCTCAAAGAAACCACACCTCTGAGTCAGACCTCAGCAACAGCAGGAAACACAGGGTAGAAAACGGCAGGGATGAGAAACAGAGGAAGGCAGTCTGGAGGGAGAAGAGGAAGATGGAAGAAGACAACATCAAGAAATGGCCTGAGGGGTGCGCCCAGGGGAGGGTGAGGGGCAAAAGAAAAGAAATGGCCTGTGGAGTTGCAAGGATGGATCAGGGGTAGAGTTCATGCTTAGCATGCACAAGGCCCTGGGTTCCATCCATAACACTGCAAATCTTAACAATAGTAGTAGCACAGATGTCCGGGGATGTCTGGGCTGCGGGATCAGAAGGAAAACTAACATGACAGAGAGTACAAATTTTGGATTCGAAGATAGTGTGGCCTGAGAAAAGAGAAATCCTGCCCACGTGCAGAAAAGGAAAAACGCAGAGTATCCCGGGATTAGGAGTAAGGGGAGGAACCTACTCAGACTAGGAAAGGTGTCCTGGCTAGGATGAGCGTGGGAGCCAGTTGGTGCCAGTTAGGAGGGCTTTGGTACAGAAGAGAGCTTCAAGTCAGGACACCTGATAATGCAGCTGGGCCTCCAACAGGCTGAGTGACCTTGGACAAGTCCCTGCCCCGGTTGGGTCCTCAGTCTCCTCATCTGTACAGCCAGAGGCTGCCCGGAAGGTACTGAGAGCTGCCGTCCAGCACTGACGTTCCGAGGTTCCATCCACAGAAGCAAGGGCGCAGTCCTGGCTTACAAGTTTGTGTGTGAAGGAAGAACTAGAGGGAGGGGCCTAGGCCAGATGTGGGTGGAGGGGGAAGCAAGCCGCGCAGTTCCAGGTCTGGGGGCTTGGAGTGGATGGAGGGGGCGCCAGGGAAAGTGCGGCGAAGCGGTCCT